GAGCCTAGTCAAATCCTGGATGATGCCCAAGGCTCAGTGACCTCTCTAAAATGACTGGATGTGGCCCACAGCTCTTACTGGGTTAAATAAGAGGATAACCTGTGAGGATGACATTCCTGTAACAACATAGGTCATGTTGTTGAGCATCAGGACTGATGGGATTGATCTGTGAATCTTCTTTCTACCTTAATTCCACCCCATTCTTGTTCTTGCATCAGGGATGTTTTACCCAGAATCCTTGGAGCAGTTATTTAGAAAAATTGCCCTGCGGTAAGAGAACTTTCAGTTACGTTAAAGCACATTGTAAACTGTGGAGTCTAAAAAAAAAAAAAAAAAAAAAACAGGTAAATATAGAAGCAATCAAAATTTAATAAAATCTTTGCAAATGACTTAACAAGTGAGAACTGAAAAAGAATTGTGGTCTCCTTCACTTGTGCTTATTACCTGCTGGGTCTTCTTTCCCACTTGAAGCTTTCTCCCTCCCAAATTCTTCCCATTCTTTGCTCAGGCTTCTTTTATTTCTCTGTCACTCAGCTCAACCAACTCTCCTTTCCTTTTATAGGTCACCTCTTCCAGGATGCCTTTCTGAAATCATTCCCACTCATACTCCATCCAGTCAACAGAATTCTCCATCTTCGCCTCTCAGTGCACTCAATGATGAATGCACCTTATCTGCTTTATTCCACTCCCTAATTTAGTAATGACAGATTTTAGTTGATGATAGATACACTTTACCTGTCTTATCACACTTTCTTAAGGGCAGGGACCATGACTGTTCTGACAAAACCTTCCTCATACCCCTCTCCACTTTTTTCTACCTCTCCCACTTGAAGGCTTAAAGACTTGTGGACTACTTAAAAGGACAGCATGTTACTGATGGTGGAGCAGAGATAGACAGGAGAGAAGGAAATGAAAGGAGAAAGAAGGAAATGAAAGGAGAGAAGAGAACAAAAAAAAAAAAGAGAATGGGGGGAAAAAAGAAAGGGAGGGGCTAAGGCCTGTCCCACCTCTGATGTTCCCCAGTGTCAAGTGTGGGTATGAAGAAGGTGGAAAGGGATGAGAATGGTTATGTGGGAGGAACCTACATTAAGGAAGGAGATGTGTATGTTAAGAGAGAGGCAGGATCCATTCCCAATCAGCCAGAGCAAGCCAAGCCAAGCCAGCATACATGAAATCACCACCACCCTTCCTGCTCTCTGCAGAAAGAATGAACTCAAATGGATATTGGAGGATCAAGTGTAGAGTTGTTAGGGAGTCTGGAGAGGGAGGGAGAAGGTTTTGAGAAGTGAGATATTTCCTGGCAGAGTCTGTCTCCAAATGCCTTTTCCCTTACCAGTGTCCTAGAACCATTAGGTATGAACTCATGATAACCAGGGTGTAGAATCTTCATCATCTAGTTATAGAAGGGAAATGACAACTAGTCATGAGCTTCTTCAGTCAGACTGAGCACCATGTCTCATATCACATGAGCATTCTATAAGCACCATGCCTGGCACTGGCCAGTAAGAAAAGATTATTATTATTATTATTATTATGGTACTGGGGATTTAATCCAGGGGTACTTCACTGCTGAGCCACATCCCCAGCCCTTTTTATTTTGAGACAGGTTCTTGCTAAGTTTCTTCGAGACTTGCTAAGTTGCTGAATCTGGCCTCCAATTTGTGATCCTTCTGCCTCAGCCTCCAGAGTCACTGGTATTATAGGCTTGTGCAACCATGCTCAATGAGGAAAGACTATTGATTGAAAAGGATAAGAATGTCCTTGTCTGGAATTTAGAGGGTGTCAGCAGAATCAAAGGATCCTCTCACTTTGCTCAATCAGTGATGAATAATTAAAAAACTGAGACTAGGTTTACCAGGACACCATGCCAGGCACTGTTCCCTGTGCATGTCAAGCAGCAGTGAAGGTGAATATTAGGTTCCTATTCCTATACTGCTTACTGTCTGTTGGATGTAAATAATAAATAGACCATTGTAGGCACTCAGAAATGTTGTGAAGACAATAAGTCTGAGTAAAGAGATAGTGAATGCCTTTGAGCAAAACTACTTGAGATGTAAGTGGTAAAGAAGTCCTCTTGGGGAGACTGAGGGTAAGGGTTAATGGTAGAGGGCTCACTTAGCATGCACAAAGCCCTAGTTCAATACTCTAGTACTGAAAGAAAAGAAAAAATTCTCTCAAAAATATGTTACCTTTGGATTGAGACTACAATGAGAAGATAAAGAGCCATGTGAAGCTCTGGAGGAGGAGGGCCCAGGCAGAAAGAAAGCAAAGGCTGTGCTATGAGATCAGCCTTGGCATGCTCAAGGAACAGAAAATACAAGGCACTGCAGCTAGAGCACAAAGAATGAAATGGGAGGAGCAGGTCCACCTACACATCCCATCGTGCAATACAATGGTTTCCCCTTGGCTAAACACTGGAACCACCTGGAGAGCTTTTAAACTATGGATACTTGGGGCCCATCACAGGAGGTTCTGTTTAATTGGTTTGGGTTATCACCTGGACATTAGAAGTTTAAAAGTTTCTCAGATGATTCTAAGGTGCCACCAAGGTGTTGAACCATTGGCAAGACTTTGAGGGCCATGGCAAGTCACTTGGATTGGTGATAGTAGATACAAGTTTCCCAAAGAGGCATTTTCCCAGTGTCTAGGCCCAGATCCAGAAAGAACTCATTGTCTAAGAGGCTTTGAAGGTGGAGATGGAGCCAGGAAAATGAAGTAATCTAAAGGAAAAGAGACTAAAGGGGATTGACAAAAAGGCCAAGAGAGACAGCAGAATCAAGAAATGGGACATATTTGGAGGCATAAAAGCAGACAAGTACAGACAGGCCCAGAAAGGTCAGAGGCTGAGGGAGAAATGTCAAACATGAATTAGTTTCCTAATGCTGCTGTAACAAATTACCACAAACACTGGCTTGACACAACATACATTAATTATCTCATAATTCTGTAATTCACAAGTCTGGAAAGGGTCTTATTGGGGTAAAATCAAGGTGTCAGCAGGACTCCATTCCTTTGGAATGCTCTAGTAGAGAAGCCATTCCCTTGGCTTTTGCAAATTCTAAAGGCCACCCACTTTTTTAGCTCCTGGATCCCTTCCTCAATCTTAAAAGCTAGCAACATCAGGCCAGGGACTTTTTTATTGTTTTATTTGTAGTTGTTGATGGGCAGCATGACTTTATTTTATTTATTTATTTTCATGTGGTGCTGAGGATAAAACCCAGTGCCTCACATGTGCTAGGCAAGCACTCTACCACTGAGCTACAGCCCCAGCCCTGGCCAAGTATTTCTCATGCTGCTATCTTCCTGGCCCTTCTTTCTGATTCCACCTTCTACTTTTAAGGACCTTTATGATTGCTGTAGACCCACCTGGATATTCTGGAATAGCCTCCCTACTTTAACTTCAACTGTTTATCAAACACAGTCCCATCTGAAAATTAATTCTCCTTTGCCATATAAGGTAGCATTCACAGTTTCCAGAAATTAGGACATGGCATCTTTGGAGGGCCATTATTCTACCTATTGTAGCATAGCAGTATATCTTTCACAAATGGATTTCAATCATATCTATAGTCTTTTGGTCAAGTTTTATCTATGTCTTATATGAGCATTGAGCTAGGAGAATTATTCCAAAATGAATGTGCATGTGTTTGTTTGTGTAGGTTTGTTTATCATGGTGTCATATTTGAGTATCTCCCTAATAGGTATGGGGGAGGAGGAAGAAGGGTGCCTGGAGGGGGTGTCTAATAAAGCGCTGCTGCTCCACAAAGACTTGCTGCTGTTGTATTGTTGCTATTATTGACAATAAAACTAATAACAGAGTGTCTCTTTGCATGTTTTGTTTGAGTATGCCCCTCTGTCTCTAAATAATCCTGGGTGTTCACCCTGGTGCTATTTAATGTATATCTGTGATGTTTGGACTATACATATATCTATGTCAATAAGTTTGTGCACATTTGGGCATTTGAACATCAGTGAATGCACACACATGTTGTATAACAGTGCATGATCACAGAGGTATATATCACAAATGTTTACTCATTCACAACCTCCAAGGGTATCCAGGAAGGGTATCCAGGAAGAAAGGTCTTGCATGAGAGAGCCATAGAAGCTAGGAAGAGGAGAGAGCAGGAAGAAAAAGAGAAGAGGGAGGAAGAAAAGGAAGGAAGAAGAGAGAGAGAGAGCGCTAAAGGTGAGGGAAGAAGACACAAGAAAAGATCAAGGGGAAAAAAATCAGAAATCAGGAGAGAGTTCCAGGGATCTGCAGTTGAAGAAGATGAAAGGTAAAATAAGAAGGAAGAAAAAGAAAAAGAAAAAAGGAGGAAGAGGAGGAGGAGGAGGGGGAGGGGGAGGAGGAGGAGCCCCTGCCTCAGCCTGGGTGGCTCCACTTCTGATCTTCCTGCTGTGTAAATTTGGCTATCCCAACTCTCTGGGCTTCAGTAAAATAGATAATCCTTGGGTCAGTTCCAAAGGAGGGAAAGAGATAAATGGAAATAAAAACTCACACAGGGAAAAGTAGAGAAAGAACCAGGAGATAGAAGGAGAGAACTGAGAGTAGAACTGAGAGCGCATTATACAGACTCCTAGAGGCGGGAGTGTGGGCTTCAGAGGGTTCTTTAGTCCTTAATAGGCAAGGCAGGAAGATAAGGGAATGACTGTCATACATCAATATTCAGAGGCTTCCTAAAGCCACACAAACCAGGATCCCAGCTTCCGGCCCCCAACCCCCAGATGTAGGTGTGCCAGCCACCTGCAATGACTCACACCCTGGCGATGTGGGCACACATGCCAAGAGCGAGCCTGGGCACCCTGCCCACCCTCACACCATAGGCCTGGAAAGGGAGAGGGAATATTCGGGCTCTTCAATGGGGGACAGGGGGTTACTCTCCCCACACAAGGCTACCTTGCCCCCAGAGCGCCCCCTAGTGACTACCTCGTAGGCTCTAGGAGCCAGGTGTCCTATCCTCCCTAACCTCCTCCCCCAAAACCTCCCAGGGGAAGCGGGAGAACCTGATGAGGTGTTACGCAAGGCCTGCTGTTTACCTCCCGCAGGAGCCTCCTCCCTCCCTATAAAACCTGACGTGGTGTGGTGGGGAGACTCGCCAAGACTGAGACTCTGGTTGAAGTGAGAGGCAATCCCAGGAGACAGGCAGAAAAGCGGCATAAAGTTAATGCGGGAGACAGAGAGAAGGACATCGAGTCAGCAAGCAGCAGGGGCGGTCCACCGTCTGCGCGCTCGTAGGCGGTCGCGGTGGTCGCGCAGGGGGTGGCTCCCAGACCCCAGCTTCCCATGGAGGCGCCTGAGCTGGGCCCGGGGCTGGTGGAGCGTCTGGAGCAGCTGGCGACGTGTCCGCTGTGTGGGGGCCCCTTCGAGGACCCAGTGCTTCTGGCGTGTGAGCACAGCTTCTGTCGCGCGTGCCTGGCCCGCTGCTGGGGGAACCCGCCGCCCACCGGCACTGAGGGGTCCCCCACCGCCTGCCCCTGCTGCGGCCTGCCGTGTCCCCGCCGCAGCCTGAGGTCTAATGTGCGGCTGGCGGTGGAGGTACGGATCAGCCGCGGGCTGCGGGAGAAGCTGGCCGAGCCCGGCGCCCGCTTGGGAAGGCGCCGAGGAGGCCGTATCCCAACCATGGGCTGCCTAGACCCGCACGGAGAGGTAGGTGCCTTCGAGGGTCACCAGCTATTAATGGGGTGGGAGAGGGCTCATAAGTTCCCTGGGAAAGGCGGGAACGGTAGTTGGCACCCCAAAGTCCTTGTGGAAGTTTAGGTAAGGGTGAAGTTGGAGAGAGAATTGCAAAGAATAAGGAGGCGGGGTCTGACCCGGTCCTCAAGATGAGAGGTGCCGGGAACGACGGTTGTAAGGGATTGACACTGTTCGGAGGAGGAGGATGGATAGATTCTGTGAAAGGAGCAGGAGAGAAGAGGTTGGACAGGAAGAGACAGGCGGGTAGTATACAGAGCACGGGACCCCTCGAGACCATGCAAAGAGTACGGGAATTACCGGGACTCCAAAGCGTCCGGGAGGAGCAGAGCTGGCCGAGGGGAGAGATCCTGCTTGCAGAAGGGCAAGTGATCCCGGCTAGCGCGAATAGGAGGCCCGGGAGGATGGTAAGAGATATCAGAACGAGCGTCGAGAGTGGAAGAAGGCGGAGAAAACGCGGAGTGGAGGGGAGGGAAAGGGGGAGACTGACAAAAAGGACGGAGAAAGGAGGGGGAGCAGATCCAACAGTCCCTTTAGTGTTGGGGCCCTTCCTCAGACCTTAGATGTGTGTTGTTGTTATTGTTGTTTTCAGCTCCTCCCAGATCCCCAGGCAGGGGTGGCGACAGGTGGAGGCAAGGTCCGGGAGAACAGCCGTTGGGGCCTCTGGCTTCTCTCCACGCACCAGCTTTATTTATCGCCTCCACACCCCCTCCTAGCCCCGTACTCCTTGGCCGCCAACCAACCCCATTCCCTTGCTCGACCCCCAGGCGTCTGAGGCTGGCTTCTTCCCAGCAGCCCAGCCGGTCTTGGGTCTCGCTTCCGCCCTTTGAAGTCTTCCTAGACCTAATTAGTCTTGGTGTAATTGGCATAATTAGGCAAATTGCCTTTCCTCTTCTCTTCCCCCCTTGCCGCCACACCAGCCTGCTCCAGCCATCCTCACTGGGCAGTGAAGAGGGGGAGGGGAATGTCCCACTCTTTGGAGGGGATCCAGCGCCCTCTTCTGGCTCCCATGATTCTCTGCAAGATCTATTGGGCCTCTTGGGACAGGTCCTCCAAGTCCAGTTGCCTCCCTGGCACAGTGGAGACACAAAGCAAAGGGCCCAATAAACGCCACTGGGCTTTTATAGCAAGATGGGAAGCAGCGTTATTGTAAGGCTTTTATATACCAACTCTTAGCTCAAGGGCTCTGGGTGTGTATTTGGTCATGTGATGGCGGGTGGGGGTGGACATTTGTCTGGGATATACTCTGGAAGGTGATAAGGATAGCACTAGTGAAAGAGAGAATGGAACTGAGAAGGCAAATGAGGAAAGTAAGGTCTCTTGGGACAAGAAATAGTCTGGAGAAGGGGAATTGAGAACCTTTGTGGAATAGAGAGGGGGAAGGCAATAGTGGGGGCACAGGAGGAAAAGAAGGTGATCACTCTGAGAGGTAGGGAGGAATATTACCCACTTAGAGTTCCCCTGAGAAGCAGGGAGGAGGGAGAGGACTCCCCACAGTATGAAACTCAGAGCTCACATCCATGTTTTCTTTTGCCCATCCCAGGATATTAGGAAGACGTGGAGGCGGTAAGTTTCACTTTTACTCTTTCTTCCTTTCTACTATCAGCAGTCATAGCCATCACTTACCACTGGGCCCATATCTTTATCCCCACTAATAGGCAGTGTTTCTGGAGTGCTGGCCTCATCTATTTCTGCTCCAGAGAACTGAGTGGGTTAGGAGTAAGGACTTCAGAATCAGCATCAGAAAGCAGAGGAGTGTCTAATGATTTGCTGACTCTTCGTCTTATCTGTCCAGATTTGATGCCCCAGCACCCAAGCTGTCTAACTCAGAGGAAAATCTCCCTGATGATTATCCAGTGGTCAAAAACATGCTTCACAGACTGACAGGTAAGGAAGAATGTAGGGAGGGAACTGAATAAGAGTCTGTGTTAACTTTGTACCCCTTTAGTTCTCAAAAATGGTTATTTCTTAGGACTGCTATAACAATGTACCATAATCTTTGTGGCTTACACAACAGACATTTATCCTAAATTCTAGAGGTAGAAATCTGAAATCAAGGTGTCAGAAGTATTGGTTTCTCCTAAGGACTGAGGAAGAATCTGTTCCTTATGTCTATGCTAGCTTCTCATGGCCTTACTAATTCCTTGGCTCAGAGATGGTCAGCACATTATCTTCCTCCTGTTTGCATTTGTCTGTGACCAGATTCCTTCCCTTTTTATAAAGCAGCAGTCATATTAAATTAGGGCCTACCCTAACTGTCTCATTTTAACTTTATTACCTCTGTAAAAAGCCTATTTTCATATAAGGTCAATTCCACGGTATTGGGGTCTTCAGCATACCTTTGGGGGGGAGGGTACAATTTAACCCAGAAGAGTATCTGTCCTCAATTCTTCTTATTCCAGCCATTTTCTTCTTCCTTTTTCATACATTCAAACAGACCCAGGAAGTCAGCTGCCTCCCAGGAATCTCTCCTTCTACCACTTCATATCATTTTTCTCTACAGAGCCTCTTCCTTCCCCTTCCTTCCTTGCTCTCCATCCTTCTTTCAAATGCTTAGAGAAGATATTCCATCCTTTTAGTCACCCATCATCTCACCTAATCCAATTACTTCTAGTACCACAATCCAGAAATCTTCCCTCAAAGCACCCCATACATACAAGACAATTGTGTGTGTGTTTTCCTGATCCCTTTGGCTATCACCTCCTTCTCTCTCCTCTGCAACACACCTCCCAAAGAAATGGGCCTGTCCACCCCCACCTATGCTTGTGGGTGGGTGGCCTGGTTTTGCAGGATACCTTGGATTCTTCGTTTTGCCCCTCCCCTTTGTCTCTCGGGTTCTATCAGGTATCAGTCTTTCTCTTTAGATCCTCCTTCCCTATCCTGCTGACCCAGCTCCCATGCCCCACCCCAGATGCTGCATATTGAAGTATTAGTCTTCATTCCTTCCCATGTAGTCCGGTCAGTCTCATCCTTCCTTTCTCTAACACTACAAATCAGAGGGAAACCTTTGCTCTTTGAGCTGTGCCTCCTTCCCTGGGCTAACATATTCCTTCCTCATGACCAATTCCACAGAAGTTGTGCATAGCCCCTATCCTGTCCAGGCCTGCTCTTCATAAGCCTTTATCCTTTTTGGTCCTGCAGCCTCCTTTTGACCTCGTTTGTAAGGTCTTCAACAGTCTCTTGTGTACCGGCCACTGCCTATTCTCTGCGCTACCCGGCCGGATTTAGAAACCCCTCTCACATAGTCCTCTCCTTGCCTCCTCCTTTCCAGCCGACTTGACGCTGGACCCTGGCACCGCACACCGCCGCCTGCTCATCTCCACCGACCGTCGCAGCGTCCGACTGGCCCCACCAGGCACCCCTGTACCCCTGGACGGCCCCGCGCGCTTCGATCAGCTCCCAGCAGTACTAGGTGCACAGGGCTTCGGGGCCGGCCGCCATTGCTGGGAAGTGGAGACCACGGATGCTGCCTCTTACGGAGACTCTTCCGGAGAGGATGAGGACGACGGGGAGAGCTGCTATGCGGTGGGTGCTGCCGGGGAATCGGTGCAACGCAAAGGCCGCATCAGGCTGTGCCCAGCGGAGGCCGTGTGGGCAGTGGAAGGCCGCGGCGGCCGCCTGTGGGCCCTCACCGCACCAGAACCCACGCTTCTGGGTGGCGTTGGACCACCGCCGAAGCGCATTCGTGTGGATTTGGATTGGGAGCGGGGCCGTGTGGCCTTCTACGACGGCCGCTCATTGGACTTGCTCTTCGCCTTCCAGGCGCCCGGACCCCTGGGGGAGCGCGTATTCCCTCTGCTTTGCACTTGTGATCCCCGGGCCCCGCTCCGCATTGTGCCAGGAGAAGGCTGAGAGCCTCCCTTCTGGCCCCTGAGTTTGGACCAGCTACTTTGAGGCTGTTTCCTCTAGTTGCTGAAACGGGTTTATAAGCCTATGCAATAGTATTAATAAGCACTCATCATCAATTCTCATTATCCCCATCCCCACAAACCTTACCAGGCCTCTAGGCTTTCACATCCTGGCCCCAAATCCAATAGCTCCTGCCCCCTTTCTCTTGGGGAATATCCCCCACCCCACTACTCCAGTACTTTGTTAGTTCTCCCTTTCTACACTATTCTAGGCCTCAATTGTGGAATTGGTTCAGCTTGTTAAGTACTGGTGAGCCATCCACATTTACTACACAGAGGTCCTGGCTTTCTTAACTTCAAAGGGTTCAGTGCCTTCTCCACTGTTGGAAGGCTTGTGCTTCCTGGTCCTGTCCATTTTGAGGTTTCTCCTCAAGAGAGAAAAAGCCTTTTCCTAAAACAAGAAGCTTGAGGCTGGTTAGGCCGTAGGGACCTCTAGGAAGCTTAATAGCACACCCACTTTTTTTTCAGGATTGGGGGGGGGGAGTGTAAGCCAGTTCTATTCTACCTTCCTTTTGTGACTGCTTTCTGTGCTCACAAATTTTGCCTATTAAAACCCTTTGTAAAATTTTCCCCTGCACATACTCACAAAAAAGAATGAATGGTGCTACCCCTCTTTTCCTCAACCTGGGAGACACCCAGACATCCCCAAATGCATCCTTATACATAGTCTCACATCATTCCACCCCATGTATAAATGGGCCCGTATTTAACACATTTTGTGATGTTGGGTTATTTATTTTGTGCATCTGTGGCAATAAATGAGATCTCAGTGCTGATATGGATTTGACTGATCTCTGCAACTGTGCATGGCAAGAGACCTGGAAAATGATAACCAGGTCCCAGTGAAGGGTGGGGGAGGGCTGAGAGAGCTGGATATCTGGGTTGGCAGACGCATCAAAGCCTAGGAAGGAAAGGGTGGGAGTGTAATACATCTGTTTGCTCTCTCCCTTTTCCTTCCTCTCCCAGGGTCCTAGGCCCCTAGAATATGTTGGATGGCTCTGAAGCTAAAGGATAAAAGGCTGAAAAGATAGTTGGCTCTAAGTCACCAATATCAAATTATCTCTGTCAAAAATCCTATATCAAATGAAAAGGGTGGGGACAGAGGACATGACTTTCTTGTTCCACTTTCCCTTGGAAGTGAGAACGACAAAGACCTCTTTCTCTAACTCCGTTTGAGGGCATGAAGGGGTAGGAAGGAGGGGAAAATTTGGGAGCCCTGCAGTGTCCCATAAGACCTCATATCCTATAGGCAAGGACTAAGATTACGGATTATATAAATGCATAAGTGGAAAAGCTCTAAGCCAAGATTAACAAGCACAGCTGGGGTGAGATGCCTGGAATCTGACTGGGACCCTGGCAGTGAAAGCTGGGACTACTGAAAACCCAGTTTAAGTGTTTGGGACTCAAATTGAGGGTGCGAGGGGCCAAGATAACTGGATCCCAGGACAGGCAGTTTGGCAGTAAGAACAAAGGAAAGAGACTGGGTCCAAGATGCCTAGATCCCTGGTAAGGATGGGACTGGAAAGAGAAATGAGGGCTGGAAGAACCCAGAAGACTGGGTTCTGGAATAGCAGCAAGTCAGAATTCCAGGATCTCTGTCCACCCTCCTCTACTTCTTCCCTCTATGAGGCAAAGAAAAGGGAAGGAGGGGGGCTGAAGAAGAAATCAAACCATGGATTTAGCCCCCAGGTAGCCACATGGATACATTCAGGGCCAAACAGACACAGGAATGATGGGGGAAAGAGGAATTTAGTGCTGCATTGGCCCTGGAGGGGGCTGGGAGGGGTCTGGAGGCTGAGGAGGGGTAGTAGGGGTCGGTCCTGGGGTTGCATGACTCCGTCCTTTGCGGTGGCCCCGAACACAGTGTGAATGACCACAGCCTTCCTCGTCCTCGTCCTCACTCTCGGTGGAGCTCTCACCAAAGGCCCGAGGTTTCTCATAAATACAGCAGCCTGGATTTGGAGGGAGGAGCTCAGTTAAAAAGAAAGAAGAATAAGATGTTCAATCAGTGCCATTCCTACTGGATCTCTGAAAATTCCTACTTCCACCTCTGTTTCCTCCTACCTTCTAGGATACAGTTTTCCCAGGCCCATTCCCTGGGACTCAGGCACTAACCCCTTTTATTTTGGGGGTACTGGAGACCGAACCCAGGGAGACTCTATCACTGAACTGCATCCCCAGTCCTTTTTTTTTTTTTTGAAACAGGGTTTTACTTAAAGTTATAGAGATTGTCCTCAAACTTATAACCCTCCTGCCTCTCAATCTCCTGGGTTGCTAGGATAACAGGTGCACCCCACTGCCCCTGGCCCCTTTAGACAGACAAGAATCTGAAACCCTACTACTCCTACTTCTTATACCTCTTGCCATCAGACCTTGATATATCACTGTTCTAGCCCCTTCCTACCTTTTTCCTTCTAACTTTAACCTCTTTTCCCTGAGAACCACCAAAAGAATCACCAAGAAAGTGACAGAATTGTGAGCATCTGGGGCCAGTGGATGTTAGAAGGTAGATATACAGGAAGAAATCTAAACTCTAGGGTTCCTCTGAGCCCACAATAACTCACATTTTGATGAACGGCGTCCCATGTGTTCATTGTCTACTGTGTCACTCGTCCATTCCACTTTTTTTTCTGGCTTCCTTTTCCGAAGTTTGATAGTTAGACTCCGGTTCTCCTAAGGTTGAGAGGCATGAGCATACATATTAGTCTCCTACTGACTTCCTATTCCCTCCCAGAGGATCTCCTTTCTTTTCTTCCCTAGCTCAATAAGTTCCACAGATATAGCACCAGAGGAGCCAAGTACTGGAAGAAAATAAAATAGAACAGGTCTTTGCCCTCAGGGCGTCCTTAATGGATATAATTTCCTGTTCTCAATAACCATCAGTATACAAAAAAGACAATTTCTAACCTAGGGAAGATCCCAGCAAATCTTCAAAGGAAAATACAATCCTTGTTGCTTCTCTTTCTGCCCATATCATCCTTGGTGGTATTAGTACATAAAAATTACTTTCAGTCCCCAGTGACTAATCTTTGGTCTTTTTTCTCCAGATTCCCCTATTCCTTTTCCCATGGAAGGGGGAACTTCATTCATTCTTACCTCACTCATTCCCAAGCCCACCTTCCCCATCTCTTATCCACCTATTTCCTCTCATCCTTAATAACAATTACTAACTCCCTTAATTTGGAGATTAAACCCAGTGCAATTATCTTCCTTTGAAAGCAACTTAACTTGTTCTTGCAAATATACTACTTGTTTTCCCACTCACATCCTCCCCTCTGATTTCTGAAAATACTACCTTCATCTTCTTCATTTCCTCTATTTCCTTTTATACTCATGCACTTAATAGCTATGTATTAATAAGCATGCTTCTGGTTAAATACCCCTACAGCTGGCTTTCAACCATACTTTCTTACATTGACCTTTCATTTCCTCTCAGCACTTTTCTTGTTCCTTAATTCACAATTTCCTTTTTATTATTTATACGCTTTATTACAAACCACTACCCCAAGCAGCAACACCTATATCCCAACTATGACGTCCTACTGCATGTCTCTGCAACAGCCTCCTGCACCATCTCTGTCACTCCAAATATCCCCAATCCCTTGCGATTCTCTCAACCTCAGATATTCAATCCCAGACCTCCCAGATTCCCATGCCCAGTCGCTCCTACACCTTTCGAAAGCCCTGTGCCCTCCCTCCCGGTATCTCCCAGACCCCTAAAGAGCACCGCCCCCCGCCTTTCTCACGGGCTCGGTTGTCACGGTAACCGTTGTCTCAGTGACGGTCTCACTCAGCCCGGCCCCTGCCTCGGCCATGGCTAAGGCTGAGGAAAAGGAGGAGGGGAGGAAGGGGAATGATACACCCTTCCCTTTTTCTGTGTCTCTGGGTTCTAAGAGAATCGGTATCCGATTCAGGTTAGTAGCAAGGATCCTCGGCCTCCTTTTTTCCCCCTCCTCCAGGGCCTCCGTTTCCCCACCCGTGGGGATAACCTGTCCAACCCCACTTCCGGCTCTCCACTTCCGGGTGTGACGCATTCTGCAGTCCCACATTTCCCTTCCCCAGCACCAAATGCGTCAAAGCGCAGGCGTCGCCAGTTTAGTTCCGCCTTAATGTGACAGCGCGCAGGCGCTGCAAGAAGGCGAAATAAATTTAGCGGAAGAGGCGTCACTGCGGGTGTGGGAAGAGGGCAGTCAGGGGTTAAAGCAGAAAGGGGCGCCTGGAGGGGTAGGGTTGGGTCAGACGCAGCGGACCAGGAGCGGCGAGACGGGTCGCTTGGGGGCTGTTGCACGGAATTGAGATGCTAGTGGCTGACCCCACCCCGCCCCCTCCCTAAACTTGAGTTAGTGGGTGAGAGACCCGCGGAATAGGTGCAGTAGTGAATCTTGGCTAGTTTTCGTTTCATTATTGGTCCCTCTCGGTTTCTTTAACGAAAAATGGAACCTGGGAGCGGTTGGAAACCCACGATTAAGAATCAAGCAATCGAGCTGAGCGGGGTGGGGCATGCCTGTAATCCCAGTGGCTGGGGAGGCTGAGACAGGAGAATTGCTAGTTCAAAGCCAGCCTGAGCAACAGCCAGGCGCTAAGCAACTCAGTGAGACCCTGTCTCTAAATAAAACACAAAATAGGGTTGGGGATATGGCCCAGTGGTCGAGCGCCCTGAGTTCAATCCCTGGTACCTGGATTCGACACCCGGCCAAAAAAAAAAGAAGCAATTCAGGGGCTGGGGATGTAGCTTAGTGATAGAGCGCTCGCCTAGCATGTGAGGCACTGGTTCAAGCCTCAGCACCACATAAAATAAAGAAAGAAAAGAAAAATATCTTGTCCATCTACAACTAAAAAATTGGAAAAAGCAATCAGGATTCTAGTTGTCGCCCTGCCTGTAGGTGTTTGAGCAGAGGGCACTTAATGCACCTTCAAACTGGATTTTTCCAGTCATTCTACTAGGCCTTGGAGATGGCCTAGTAGATGCTTTTTCACTCCCAGTCTGGTGAAAAAGACAGGCATGCTCAAAACTAACCGAAGTATAAAACACTGAGGAGGCATTAACATATTAGTGAATATTAATGTATTAGTGAATCTGATGAATGAAGTGAATTTAGCTACATACTGCTTACATATTCTCTGGGGTGGGAAAGAGTACATTAACCTGTTGCAATAATTCACTTGCAGGTCAGCATGAGAAAGAAAGAAATAAGAAGCAGAGCAAGCAAAGCAGCAGCAGAAAAAAAAAAAGTCCTTTATTGTGTACAAGCAATCTTTTTATAGTATTGTGAACAAAGAAGGCAGCCTTCCAACATCAATGAATCAGGTCTTTCAGCTAATTAAACATAGCACACAGAAGTTTTACTTTCTAATCAGAAGTGACCCACTTCTCATGGCTGATCTACTCTGGACCTGGAGCATGTCGAACTCTGCTCTTGTTAAGAACAGATAATAAAATTTTTCTTAGCGCCCTCCTAGCCCACTTGGCAGAACATCCCATTTGCAGGCAAGTCCTCCCAAGGACAGCAGACACCTCGTTTTCAAGCATGTCTGCTGTTACCTTATCTAAACCTTGAGGGAGCCTCTCGTTTTCGAGCAGGCCCTCCCAAGGACAGCAGACACCTCATTTTCAAGCATGTCCGCTGTTACCTATCTATACCTTGACAGAATATCCCGTTTGCAGGCAGACTCCATCAAGGACAGTAATAGTAATGCAGTCACATCTGATTCTCTACATTAACCAGAGAAAGTTATATCATTTTATACAAATATGTGCACGTTTTTCAAGGAGCAAAAGAATAAGTGGTAAAAGAAAAACTGGAGGGCAGACATATTTTGTTTGTTTTTAGGTAGAGAACTTATAAAGTAGTAGGTGTGTACATTGATTTATACTACACATTATGGTTTAATACTACTGGGAGTAGGGGGAGTGCCATATTAGGCTTGACAGTTAAGCAGTGGTTTCATGGAAGGCCCTGCATGCTTTGCTAAGAGAACTTTATCCAGCCTGTTGTTACTAGCCATAGAAAGGCTTAAAGTAGGGTAGAAACATATTTGTGTGAAATTTCTAGAGAGGTCAGGAGGGTCCACTGCCAGAACAGTCAAATGTATAGTGGGGAAGAATGCCCTGCCCATCTGCACCTTGTGAGGATCAATCAAACAAGATAGTGTGATGTTTAAGAGCTATGAATATATGAAGGACCATAGAACTACAAGAAATCATTGTTACTCTTGTCCCTTGATCATAGTTTATATCGAAGAATGCAGAGATGCTGTTTCCCAGAATCAAAATTTGAATGTTTTGTATTGTGCATTCGTTTCTCTGGAAAGTTTTTGGGGAAAAGAAAAATTCAGCATGTATACTACATAGCCCATTTTTAAAAATGTGATCTCCACACATACCTATATAAGCACATATATATTGATTATCTCTGGGAAGTGGGATTCCTTTGAATTTGACTTTTTGTTTCATTTTATATGAGTCTATTTACAATGAATGTATATTAATCTCAAGAGTCAATGAAATAAAACTTTCCAAAATGCCCATGCATCCCTTGGTATCTTTTGTATGGGGGGGGGGCAGTAATTTGGAATTGAACCCAGGAGAGTTCTCCAACTGGGCCACATTCCTTGCCCTTTCATTTTTAATTCTAAGGGAGGGTCTTGCTGAGTTGCTTAGGGCCTAGGTTGTTGAGGCTGGTCCCAAACTTGCAATCCTCCTGCCTCAGCCTCCTCCCTGAGATTAATGTGCACCACTGTGCCCAACCCCTGGGTATCTAATTGTTTTGTTGTCTGTTAAATTTATATGTCAAATAGATCTGGTTAAATCTTATGTTGAATCTCTCATTATCCAAACCCCCGGTTTTTGTTTCCTTATAATCGGGAACCAAACAGATTTAGACAGAGGAAATACTTAAAATTGCTTTTTTCTCTTTTACAATACTGGAGAATGAACCCAGGGGCACTCTACCACTGAGCTACATCCCATTCCTTTTTATTTTTTGAGACAGGGTCTTTCTAAGTTACCCAGGCTGACCTCAAACTTGCAATACTTCTGTGTCAGCCTTCCAAATTCCTGGGATTACAGGCATGTGCCACTATGCTGGGCTTATAATTGCTTTTTTGCATTAGCCTCACTCCTGCAGTTTCATTATTTTGCCCTTGTATTTTTCTCCTTCATAAGCTAATTTAAGTTCCTTTTGAAATAAGACACATTAAAAATTACACATATATTCAGGTTTATAGAAAAATGTAACTTTAATAAATTCAACTGGGATAGTAGTAGGTGGGAGACCAATGGTAGTCCCCATGTAAGATCTGATTATTCTCTGGGAGCAAAATACTGCAGAGGAGATAGACAAGACATCTAAGAACCAATATCTTTCACCTTCCAAGGAAGAAGAGGATGTACTGTAGAGTTGCCCAGAAAAAAAGATCAAGAATCTTCCTTTTCCTGAAACCTATGAAGAAAGAAAGGACTTGTAATATTCAACCAAAGGAAGAGTTTCTAGTTATGTGAGATGATATAATCAATAAAATAATCAGGAAAGGACTTTTTATTTGTGCATTGTAGAGAACTAGCTCCCTTAAACAATCTTCCAATTCCAACTTTAAAACAACGGAAAATGCTAGGATTAATACTAATATCTAATTATTAATTAATTAATATCTATTATTAATCAAAAAATGTGAAGATTTTCTTAGCACTCTTCATAGAAGAAAAAATAAATAAACCGGGCCTCATAAAAAATTAAAAACTTCAGATTGGGGTTTAGGCCTGTGCTAAGGAGTATGTTTAATATGTGCAAGGCCCTGGGTTTTATCCCTATTAAATACTTCTTCTCATAAGAAAGGAATTTCACTGCCTCAACAGATAGAGGAGAGAAAATATTGTGAGAATTTCTTCTATAAGCTGGCTTTTACATGAATACGCAGCTAAAATTGATATTACTTTCATGCTCTTAAAAATATGAAGCCAAGAAGTTATCATAGTGATTCTAGGATTTGGGCACATGTAGCTCAGTGGTACAGCACTTGCCTAACATGGGCAAGGCCTTGAGTTTGATTCCCAGCACTGTCACAGAAATGAAAGTAGAGCGATCCCCTCTTGGTAATGCCTCAAGGCACTTGAAAAAGAAACAAATGTGGGCTGGGGTTATAGCTGAGTGATAAAGCATTTGCCTAGCATGTGTGCGCCACTGGGTTCGATCCTTAGCATCACATTAAATAAATAAATAAAAGCTTTAAAAATGAAATTAAAAAAAAAAAAGAAAGAAAGAAATGCTGAGAATACAGCGTTACCACCACCCCCCCAGGGGTGGGGAACAGTTGGGGGGGATTTGAGCTTGTATTCCAAAATTACAAAACAAAAAAGCACTGAGAGAGCCAGCAGAAATAGCAGATAGCAGCATCAGAACCACAAGAACTGTGGTTATCAGACTCAGAAAAAACAAGTGTAATGTTATTTAACATACATTTAAAGAATGGCTGGGCATGGTAGCTCACACCTGTAATCCCAGTGGCTCAGGAGGCTGAGGCAGGAGGATCATGAGTTCAAAGTCAGCCTCAGCAAAGCAACTCAGTGAGATCTTGTCTCAAAAATACAAAATACAGCTGGGGATGTGGCTCAGTGGTCGAGTGCTCCTGAGTTCAATCCCTGAACCCAAAAAGAAAAAGAAAAAAAGGAGCAAGGGTTGTTAACAGGCAGGATCAAAAAAATGAAAGAAAGGCAAGAATAAAAGGAGAAGTTTAGAATATGATTAAGGAGTGAAAATTTTTTAAAATGAGGATATTTGAAAAAATAATTAAGTAGAAATCAATAATAGTAACTAACAATAACTGAAATAAATTGAAGATAGAATTAGTGACCTAGAAGGACCTGAAGAAATTATCCAGAAGGCAATATAAAAAGAAATAAGATAAAATATGAAAGATAATAAAAATGGATGATACAAGAGAAAATTTAATAACAAATTATACCTTCAGGAAGTGAGAATTGAAAACATGGGAGAAAAGCAATGTTAAATGAGATAACAGCTGTTAATTTTCCAAGGTTA